TAAGTTTATAAAGTATGATGGAACATCAATTGCTCAATTGGAATATAAATGTGTTATAGATAGTTTTATGTATGCAGTTCAATGCACAAAACTAGACATAACATTTGCAATTAGTAAACTTAGTAAATTTACTAGTAATCCGAGCAAGGAACATTGGAAGGCCATTGGGAGAGTTCTTAATTATTTAAAGAAAACCCATAACTTTGGTCTTCAATATTCCAAGTTTCCGACTATATTAAAAGGATTTACTGATACTAATTGAATATCTAGCATTGATAAAAGTAAATCTACTTTGGATCGGGTGTTTAATCTTGGAGGAGGTGCATTTTTTTTTTCCTTTTAAAATCTAAGAAACAAACATGCATTACATATTCAACCATAGAATATGAATTTGTGGCATATCAAATACTGGGAAAGAATTTGAGTGACTTAATGGTCTACTATATGAGATAAATTTGGGGTTGAAAAATACATCTTCATTATCTATCATGTGTGATAGTCAAAGCCATATTGAAAAAGTCATGAGTCTAAGATATGGGTACGTAATGAAATTAATCAAAAGTGAAATAATTTTTTTTAATTGAGAATTTAGTGGATCCTTTAACTAAATTTCGTAATAGAGATGTAGTTATGTCTAAATCGAGTAGGATGGAGTTGAAATTCTTAAACTAAAAAGATCTACCAACGATGGTAACCCTACTTGTCATTACTAAAACAGTAATCCACGACTTCAAAGGGTAACAGGTTATTAGATAAATAAATAGTTTAAAGCATTATAATCTCCACAAGAACCATATCCTAATTATGCAATGCTGGTTGTTACTTAAAGGAAGGTTGAACTTTAAAGTTCTTAACAAAGTTCAATACCAAGTATAAATACCTTTTAAAATAACAAAGGTACTGAGTTCTCTCTTAAAAGTTCAACGAACATGATTGGAGCATGATCATATTAGCGATTAGCGAGTTTAAGGAACTTATGAACACATGATATTTGTGTGTGTGTTTTCATTGATATTATCTCAAGGAATAACTTTTTCAAAGCTATCACACTACCTATAATTTCGAGTATAATTCGTGAGAATTACACTACGGTTAGATTCAAATCAAAAGAAATCTAATCTTTATGAACAAGTGCTACTACTTTGAATATTGGTATTATTATACAGTTAAAAAAGTGGAAAATTGTTGTAATTTATTCTTCAACTTATAATGAAAAGTATATTGGAATGATAATACATCCATATGGGTGTATTAACAAGTAGAGAAACACCAAAAGCAAAATGAGAAGAGAAAACTGTGCGGCTGAAAGTTTAGCTTGATTTGGTTTCCTTAGAGGCCAAAACTTTGGTGTGCCGACAATTGCCCAGGCCATTTTTCTGGTCCCTTTTTGGCGCCTTCTCATTAAAAACTCATCTCTTCATGAACTTTTAAGACCTTTTCGTGGTGTACGAATGATAATCTATAAATAGGAAATAGATTTCATTCTAAAAGACAATAAGTTCATCAATTTACGAGATCATTCCACATAGAAAGAATCTTTTACAAAGTTTTCTATACATATTCATTCATTCAATTGTTCTTCATGCACTAAAGAGAAAACAAAAGGGCTTAGTGTTTTTCTTCTCTTAGGGTTTGTTAAATTCTATAAACCGTTTGCCGTGAGTCCTTTAAGCATCAAAATCAATCGTAGAGTGAGAAAATTTAATTTGAGGACAACGATTAAACATTGAAACCATTTTTCGATGTTTTCTACTTCTATTGATTCTATTTTCTATTTTTCTTGTTAGGATCAAGTTTTTTCAACATAATATTATCTAGAAGCATTTATTTTAGGAGAAATGGAGAGAAGATGAAGTCGGGTGGAAGGTAAGATTGAGGTAGAAAATAAAATTTTAAAAGTTCGAGCTTATAATTGACAATTTGTGAAAAAAAAAATTAACAGTTTGGGACTGAGCCTAAAATTTTTTTAATGGCCAAAGCGATGACATTGTTTGTAGGGGAGTGGATCGCACTTCAAAGTTCATACAGGCGATTTTTCGCACCTCAGATGTTGTTTATCGCACTCCAACTTTCATATAGTGACCTTTTTCACCAATTTTGAAAGGTGAGGGATTTTACATAATATGTCTCAAAGATATGGGATAATACGCTATTCAGCCAATTTTAAATAAAAGTAATATTATTCAACACTACTTGTGTTAAGCATTCGTTTAGGTGGCAACTCTATGACATTGCATGGTAAATTTACTTAAATGTAACATTACATTATTCATTTAATTGAATCAATCAAGTATAGCTATCTAAACTGATGCATTAGCACCACTGGTGCTAGATAGAATTATTTTTAATTAATGAACCTCAACTTATGCAGTCGTGATAAACATATTTCAAATTCAAGTCTCACATTTTTTTGGATTGTTTACTTCTTATTTATTACTTATTTGTCTTACAATTACTTAGATATATTTCTTTAGATATTTTTACATTGTTATATTCAAGTCTACACTTCTCGAATTGTATAGAATTGTACAAAACTCTCGAACCGAATAGAGCAATTTTTCTTAAATTTTTTACCCGAATGAATATTTGAATCGAAAATTGATGGATTTGATTTAGTTCCCTAACTTTTTATTAAATGTTTTAACATTTTCCTAAATAAATTTGCCAACTAAATTAAGTGGTTGGTAATATTTAAAAATAATTATTTACTAGCAATATTTAAAAATATTTTATTTTTGTAACTTCTAATTTTTATTTCATTTTTTATGCGGATTGAAGGCTTGAAACTAATGAATCAATGATATGAAACCACTGATATTTTAGTATTATTATTTACTTTTTGGTAATTTGTATATATTAATGAATAAATCTTATTAAACAACTTATTATTTTTATGATTTTAAATTGGATAACGTTATTTTGTAAAAGTTAAAATTAAACATTTATCAATTGAATTAATGTAATATTGTTATAAATGTTAAAAAATTTAATTATGGTACAAAGCTCAAGAACTGAACAGAGTCAATTCTATAATTAAATTTGGACCCGACGATTCTACTTACTAAATATCTGAAAATTCAATTTCAGCTCGATTCTCTTTTTATCTCTAAATTATTTAGTTCTTATTACTTATCTATCTTACGAATACTTTATAATTTTTCACATTAAATTCTTTAATATTGTAAGAGTTCAAATTTCAAAATAGACTATAACATAAGAATTTTCATCAAGTTTATTAATTGCATATGGCCTTCATTTAGTTTTAACTAATCCATGTCACCCTTACGTCATTTCATTCAATAAATTAGAATAAGATGTAACGAAACCAAAATATCAACTAGGTACACCCAACTTCGAACAAATAAAGTAGAATGGGAAAATGTAGGGATGAATTGGTAAGTAAAAGTGAAGTGGTTGGTTAGTCAATTTGTTGGCCAAAATCATGATTAGGGTTTGAAGTTTGGGAGAGGATTAATGATTAAGACCATGAAATTGCCTCAGAATTGTAAATTGTTGCTTTCTGTTACTGAGAGATGTCAATCATCCATATTCATAGACAATGATTTTGATACGTACATGACAAGATTAAAATAAATTTATATAACTAATCCTTAAGCATTTAAAAATAAATTTTTAAATAAGAATGTTGATACTCATTAAGAAATATACATTACACCACAATTAATTTACAATGTCTCACGTCAGTTAATACTCTTGTTAAAGTTATAAACTTGAAAATATTTTTAACCGATCATTTAGGCCGTGGTTGGCTTGTCATTTTCGGCCCATTTTTCGTTTTCTGTTTTCAAAAACGCGGAAAACACGTTTCATCCGTCGTTTTAAAAAACGAGTTAAAATATATAACTGAAAGCACAAAATGACTTTTTATCGCTTTCAGTTATAAATGTCGAAAATGCTCAAAACGCAAAAAAAGTGCCGTTTTCAGGGAAAATTAAAACTCGTTTTGAAAATGAAAATGCAAACCAACCACTACCTTAACTTTTTGTGAAAATCAAATTTGTCGGCCAATTTTTATTTTTTCAAATAGGTGATTCAGTCATAATTTGTAGTGCACTTTTATTAATGTCTTCTAAACAATCTAGGCATCAGGCAAAGTTAACAAGAAAGACTAGAGTGTCTATAAACAATTTTGTTAGTTGTACAGCCAGAGTTGATAATCTCGGTTGACAACCTCTTCACAGGAGGTAGGGTCCACAATTTTTTTTATTCATCGTGAACCCCCTTCTCATGTTTGTGCTTGTTAACCCCAATTATATATGCAACGTGACTGGTCTATAAATGAACAAAGAATTTTTGCTAACTTTGTCTAATTTTACGATAGTGCCTACAGGATAGATGATCCAAAATTTATGTACAAGGAAGAGGAAGAGTGTTTAAATGGACTAAAATTAATGTTAACTTTGTCAAATTTAAAAAGAATATTTAGATGATTCAAAATTCATGCAAAAAGGGGAGCTTAACATATTTTTAATAACACAGGATGATATATTTAACACTTCATAGTTTGTTGTAGTCACATAAATAATAAATACCATTATAATTTTATTGAGAAAATTAAATGCAGAAATTAAAAAAAATAGATAAAAATTGTTTGATTTCACTGTAAAAAATAAAATAAAATTGAGCAACACAATAGTGATCATCTAATTCAATGTTAATAATCGATAGTGATTAGAGATGAAAAAAACCCATTAAACCCAATACTCATGAAATCCCATCTCGAACAAGGTGAAGATTACTTGCCTAATATGATAAATACGACGGAGGCGAGGGCAAGGGTCGTTGCCTCTAGGTTAGGACAGGACGAGTAAAGGAACATGATCCACCCCGTTTAAAATTCATTTCAAACTTAAGCTTTTATCAAATAAAAAGAAGAGAATCATTACTTTCTAAAGATAATATGGGTTATTCTTAACAAATTGAAAATAATAATAATAATAATTTTTAGCAACTAAAAACATGAAAAATTAAAATAAATGGGGGTTGGGGTCCGCCCGTCTGGTCACGTTGCCACCCCTAGCGTTTCATACATAAATTACTCTTAAAAACATGTCACAATGATTTCCTTCCAACGAAAGTGCAATGTCGCCAGACTCCTCATCTCTCCGTTGCCTTCCTGTCGTTGGGATTGATAATTGATTCCATATAAAATGAGTAGAGAGAGAATTTTGAGAGAGAGAGAGTGAGAATGGTGGTTTAGAAAGCCTTTGTCGAAGATAGTAAGGTCTCGGGTCACAGGAGCCATCAAGTGGGACCCCTAATGTAACCGTTACCAAAAGTATCCATGCTATTCGGGTCCTACCCGACCCAATACAGACGCTATAAATATTTTCCCTCCAATTCAAACTCTCCCTGGGAAAAAGCTGTCCTCTCTTGGTGCTTGGTTGCCATACTTCTTGAAGTAAACTTGGTTTTGACATGAATGTATCAGTAAATGGTGAGTCTAATGTGCCTCCTGGATTCCGTTTCCATCCAACTGAAGAGGAACTCCTACACTACTACTTGAGGAAGAAAGTAGGGTACGAGAAGATTGATCTCGATGTAATTCGAGATATCGACCTTAACAAGCTCGAGCCATGGGACATTCAAGGTAATATAAAGTATAAATCGACACTAATTCCTTTGCCTCTGCCTCTTAATGAATTATATTTATATTGCAGACAAGTGTAAAATAGGATCTACACCTCAGAATGATTGGTACTTCTTCAGTCATAAAGACAAGAAATACCCATCTGGAACTCGAACTAACCGTGCAACTGCTGCCGGTTTCTGGAAGGCAACCGGTCGGGATAAAGTCATCTACAGCAATTTGAAAAGAATTGGAACACGAAAGACTCTCGTGTTTTACAGAGGGAGAGCTCCACATGGGAATAAATCGGATTGGATCATGCATGAATACAGGCTCGATGACAACACTACTCATGATCCCATCATTGTAGGCCTTATTTTCTCCATCTGTTTCTTACTTAATGCTTTGTAAGTTACTCATTTTGATAGTCTAACCATAATGCTATGAACACAGGCCAGTAATACTGTGGGAGACTTGGTGCCGGAAGATGGTTGGGTGGTATGTCGCGTCTTCAAGAAGAAAAACTACCACAAGGCTATACAAAATCCTTCCACTTTAATCAACTCGAACAACAATAATGATGTTCTTGATCAGATAATCATGTACATGGGAAGATCATGCAAGCAACAGCAAAATGAATCAAACTTCAACAGCAACAATAACGAGCAATATGACGGTTTCATGCATACGGAAAGTCCAAGTACCAAGTCACAAGCCAAGAACTCACCTTACAATGAAGAAGATTGCAGCTTTAAGGCCTTTGACGATACCATAACAGCAATCGAACCTTCATGCACAAATCAACCTGGGGATTATAGCCACAGAAACGCTTTTGATTATTCGAAAATTGGGTTGATTGACTGGGCTGCACTCCACCCACTGGATCAGCTCATGAATGGCGAAACATCTGAGCAATATTCCAGCTCTGCCTATGGTGATCCCTACCAAGACTTGTCTTTTTCACTTGATCAATTGGTGAACACACGTACAGGTACAACAAATCAAACTTCTCAAGTTTCAAGCCCTGAGACAGATCGTTGGGGCCATGCTCGATAATCACAGAGTACATAGAATGAGAGAGAATTTTAAATAATATATGAACTGATTTACATAAATACAGATATTTTGCTGTACAAATTAATAGAATGGAATATCTAATATTGGAGCCTGAGATGTCAAACATTGTATTGTTTTATATTTACCTAGTACAAGAATTAAAATATATATCACAAACATTAGGTGATCTGCATGGTTTGTGGGAGAAAATACTTAAAAACAACAGGGCCAGGACTCATGTCCTGATGCTTATCTCTAAGAAAACAAACAAAATTCAGTTTAAGAGGTACAACAAAGAAATATTTTATAATTTTCAGGTTTTCCTGTCGCCTTTTGACAACAAAATAATAATGATTTTTGGTTGATGTATATATATTTCTTCCATATTTTCCATTGGAATATGATTTTGTTCAGCTTTGAAATGTTTATTTCTCCACTTGGCCAACTGAAAATAGAAAGAAGAGTAATGCTTTGTAGCAACACTAGTGTTTAACACCATTTTACATGGAAATGGATTGGTAAGTCCAATAAACCACTGTAGCCAAACAAACCAGTGGTAAATATTAGTATACTCTACATAACATTATTCTAGAAAGAAATACAAGCTTAGAAGGGGGGAGGGGGCGTAAAGAAAATTTAACTAAAGAACCAGGAGCTAAAAAATAAGATTATCCATCTTGCAATTTTCTGGAAAGAAAGAGAATCAGATTTCCAGCTTCGCATATCTCCTAATAAGTTCCAATTGTCAGTGTTAAGTATAATTGTTAAATAAACTTGTTCCTTCAATATCACATTTCTAGCTTGTAGTACTTAATGTAAAGAGCCCTTGGACATTATAACTAATATGAAGTTGGAATCATACTGATTGATAAGTTCCACCAGAAAATCCAGACTTGGCCCACAGTAATTATCATTATCAAGGCACAAAGTTGACAAGATGATTGTCTCCAAATACAAACCATCATTGTGTACTATAACTGCGGCATTGGCACCCTCTCTGCACCAAGTGAAACACTGTTGCAATTTCCAAGCCAGGAATCAGACCAGTAACGCCTTCTCAGATTACTGCATAAACAAGATTTCGAAAGTAAATGGTGAAGCAAACCAAACATAAAAACAGTGTAGTTTATAGATCTCTTCAAATACAAAACAATTAATGGTTGTATATTTAACTCAAGTACACAGGTTCAGGCTGATTTGTATACCTAATATATTCTTAATCAGTCGGGGCCCTAAACTGCTATTAGATGAATGTTTGTGTCATTTGTTCTCACTCTATTGTTTGGTTTTAAGAGGGAATAGTACGACTTCTTACCAAGGGATAAATGTGGATGGGTTGGTAGGGTCACAACAAGTGCAAAAGCAAGATCTGGGAGGTTCAAAATGAACCACCAAAAATGAGCTGTAGATGTGACAGGTTGATGCTATAAAATAGAAACTAAACTTTTTGCTAAAAGGAATGGTAAGAAAAAAAAAAAAAAAAAAATCTGGGAAGATCTTGTGATATTAGATGTATGAACTAATGTTATTCAAAATTTCCAACCTTACATAGCTTGAGATATTTATACTTTGCACTCAGGCACAGTACTAAACATTCTTAGCAGAGCTTTGTATTGATAACCCAACCCTCTAAATTCCCTAATTGAAACACAACATTGAAAGGGAAAAGGTTGACTGATTCTGAATATTACATGTCAGAACCTGGCAATATCATCAACCTCGCCATCGATTAAAAAGCGTTCTTAGGCATATCAACTGGCTAATGTTCACGAACAGTGGAGAATGGACACGGTCGGTCCGTTAAAAGAGCAAAAGAAACTGAAAAGAAGCTTTACATCGTAGAGAGTATCTTCAAGAAAAGTATATCTGATGTTAAACTTGGATATTTGAGGACTAGCATTTAAGAAGCACCAACACGGACACAAGTGTCCGACACGTATAATATCCGAGGACTAGCTAGCACCTAGGATCTAGTATGATGCTGGTAAGATCTTGGAAATATTTCTCCTACAGGTAGCACCTAGGATCTACCGGTTCCTCCTACATTAGAATAGAACTTGTGTGTAACACTCAATAATTTGTTGTTTTTGGTTTTGAATTTGTATGTTAACGTTGATGTTACCACTTGAGCGAATAAAGCTTCTTTACCCATAAAAATCTAGAGGAAAAAGCCACATCAATCATCACATGCCGGAGTTAGTTACCACTTGAGCGAATAAAGCTTCTTCACCCATAAATATCTAGAGAAAAAAGCCACATCAATCATCACATGCTGGATATAGAGAGTAATTAAGCTATGACAATTCAATAACAGAATCTTTTGCATACTAACAGGTTCCTTATCATTTTGACTCTTTCTTATCATTGATTGGGATTACCAAAGCTTGGGCCAATTTCTTAAAGCAGTGCATGCCACAAACTGTATCACATTTTTCTCTAATGACAGCTGTGTATCAGTTTTTCATCTATTATTACATATTAATAACGCCATAAACCAAATTCATTGGTTAAATGTACTGATGAACGAAGAAAGAAATACTAGTCATAAAGCTAGTAGTTTCCAATATGAACTATAAGTTATACCCTAAAAATATCAAGCTAAGAAAGAGAAACTTACTATGGCTGGGACCTGAGTGTGCACTGTGTTAAACCAAGCACTTTTATATTTGGAAACTACTGCTGTCCCAGATTATTAGTAATAAGGACTCTAGCTAGTAGGTTCTTATAAGAACTGTTAGTTATACTCTTACAATGCCCAAAACTCTTCAAATGCAACACTAATGAGAACTTGTGCGATGGAGATTTTCCTTATAACTAATAGTTATACCCTAAATTCCTGCAAGTAGGAGAAATTTGACAGAAGTAAATCCTAAGATTTTTCCACAGTGACATCGAGATAGTAAACAACTTTTTAGGTACATTTTGTCCATTGCCTCCACAAAAATGGAACTCCATAAACAATCAAGTTCACAAAAAATGTAAAAGTAATAGCATATAAGTAGCAAGTATACACGGTACAATTACTAGCTAACAATTTCATTCTCCTGACTCCTAAAAAATCTAACACATACAGAACCCTCTGTTAAACGGATTGCTGCATTACATTGGAAACAGAAGCAAATGGAGATTAGAATTAGACTTCTTAGTTAAATAGCAAAGACGAGGCACTGAAAATGGACCTAATAAATATGGATGGTGCCAAAAGAATCCACATTCTGTAATAGCTCAGCTACACATGGGACAGAGCACCAATCCATTCTCATTACAGTCACTACACCTCACTACTACCGCCTTCTCCCCTTGCTTCCCATCCACCAGCATTTCTTCATTCACCACAATCTTACAACTTCCATTACAAGTAAAACAGGGCAAGAACCTTACACCTCCACACCCCTCACACACATAGCCACCTCTTGTTCTAGGCAACCCCTGAAGCAATTTTCCAAGACTTCCCTCCTCAACTATCCTCATAACCTCCTCAACGCCTCCAATATACCTCCCTTTCAAGAACACTTTTGGCGGTATCATGTCACTTGTGTCCTTACCCTTCAGCAATTCCTTCAATTCATCCCTAAACCCCTTGTCCATTGAAATATCTCTCTCAAAAAACAAAAACCCAAGAGCCTCGATCGCTGATCTAACAGCATTGCAATCCTCAAAAGTCTTCCTTACACCTCTTAGTGTCGTTGTATATATCACTAATGTATGCTCCCCATTTGGCGGGCAAATCTTTTCAAATCCATCGAGTGAACCAAAATAGCTTGAATCCTTGGAAACATCTGATTTCCTGAAACTAGTGGCCTCTTTCAAGGACTTCATAGAAACATTCGGACTCAAATTCTCATCATTATCCGGACAGACTGCCGCAGTATTAAACGATTTATAGGGTGGTAACGGCAACGGGGAGAAGCGGAAGCTGGGAATGTGATCTGCATCGAGGCCGGAAGCGAAGTCCCAATAGTTGATGGTTTCGAGGGAGTGGGGCTTGAGAGAACGGGGTTCAGAGAGTGGGCTGGGGAAGAGGGAACCAAGGGTAAAGCGAGGCGGAGGCGGTGGTGGGGTTGGTGTAGGAGGAACAGTAGTAGTGGGAGAATGGTGGTCAGACGACGGCGAGTCGAGGGTAAGGAGGCCGTAGGTAGTGGAAGTGAGAGAGACAATGTGGTGGCTGAAGGCAGACGAGCCTCCGATTGGAGAGAATTCATCGTCTTGATTAAGCAGTGTAGACGAAACACAACCCATTTTTGCGTGTGTAATGAGAAGAAACAAAAAGCTTGGGTTTTGACACGATTCAGATTGAAAGACTGGCAGAGAAGAAAGGAATTATGAATATTTTAATGGCCATTTAATGCTGCAATCTGATTTAGCGCTCAAAAAGTTTGATTTATTTTGAATGCAGTCATTGACATTGCATTGGCATTGATGCACTTAAGAGGAGCCTTCGTTTTTTTATTTTCATTCACGTGAGCATATTAAAAGCTCAGATTTTGAAAACACCGCAACATTTTTTTATTTCTTCTGTACTCTGGCTGCAAAATACCGACGAAGATGAACCTTGGTAATCCCAGGATTGGCTCCTGAGGTCGCACCATCTCGGTCCCTGATTTGAATTCGACGGGTCCCAAGTGATGCAAGATCGAGGGCTGAGCCAAACTCAAGATTTAATCCCAGGCCCTGAAGCGGTGTTCGGTCATACGAGTAGGCCTTTATTACCTTCTTATCTACATGTGATTCTCATTATTTAATTTTTTATTTTATTTTTTTGAACTCATTTTCAACCGTGTTACCTGATGTGTACAAAAATTATAGCTCGACCCCGAACTTTCAAGCATGGCCCGAGATCAATACCTCGACCACTCTCGTCTTCAAATATCCTCTAAAAAGTGATCGGGCCCTTAGAAGTCGGGCCTAATAATTTGGCCCCGCTAAGGTCAGGCCCATATGCCAAAATATTGTCCTCGTCTCGAGCCTTTTTACGTGTTTTAGTCCTCTTATAACTTAATTACTCTATCTGATGAGGATAAGGACTCTAAATTGTTGAATCCTTCTACAACTCAACCACCAACGTCTATAAATACAAGACCTAGCCCCATTATTCAGGTATGTTTTTACAATACAATTACAATACATGCTTTTACATAATTTCCCCGTCTGACTTAAGCATCGGAGGGGCGACGAGGACACACCTCGTTGCCTTTGTTTCAGGTACCGGAAGGCTCCATTCGTGCTCGATCTCAATCCTCAAGTTCGGGAAATCAACAGGTACGATTTTTTGCATCATCAGTGACAGATCGATGTTGCTGAAACAAAAGAAAAGGCCAAACGTTTACAGATCTCTTCAAAAATACATTTTCTATCACATTCTCTATCTAAATACGAAGAGATCCATGGTGAAAATTGAAATCTATTCTAATTTTCACTGCGTATGATTAAGTAGATTTCCAACACACTTAGAGCATTGTATCAATTGCAAGGCCCTTTGTTTTGGCCTCAATAGGCGTGCTCATGGGTTTACAATCTGTCTTTTTGGGTATTTTTTTTATTTTTTGTTTTTAAAGAATGGTCTAAGCGTAATGAAACTGTGATAGATGTAAACCATCTGTAGTTGGTGTGATCTCAACTCCAAGAAAATGATGAATTTGTCGTAAATCCTTCATTGCAAATTCAACAATCAATTTCTTGATAAATTGCCCACTAATATGTGTGAAAAAGAAAGGTAAACATATCTTTATGGGACAAAAGAGTAATGATACAACCAACCTACAATTGTTTTATCAAATTTATCAAAAAGCCCGATCAACTCTCCCAACATAAAATTTTGAACCAAGGATTTCACGAAATAGGGATCTTATGAATCGATTGGCAAAATAGGATTCACTCACATCAACATATTTTACTGTTCAACGAACTCATTGCATATAGAGTTAGGATTCCTTTCTCTCATTCCTTCAAATATTGAGGCGTAACGTAGTTGAGATTCCTCTCTCCAAAATGTATCAAACATTAGCTGAATAAGAACATACAAAACATTTGAAATAGCCTGTTTAGAAATTCAAAGACAACGTTTCAAGATTTTTATTTTTGAACTTTCGATGATATTATATAGAGGAAGAAGTCTCCTTTTATATGGGAGTCCTTGCAAAGTTCAATAATTTGCATTCACTGTACCCACGAGGAGCAAGAAATCTGCTTTTTTACGAAGTGCCAAATTAGTGCACCAATAATTTAAACATACTATGCGCGATATCTAATCTTTCAAAAAACACACTGACACAGTAGTCTAATAATACATACTCATACAGTAATAGTACAAATTGACATTATGGCCCCATTTGGTAGGAATTTTTTGCCCCAAAAAATTAATTTTTTGACCGTTATTTTATTATTCAAGCCGTAATTTTTGACTTCTTCTCTCACATGTGGACCCCACTTTTCTTCTAACGGTCAAAAAATCAATTCTCAAAATCCCTACCAAACGGGAACAATCATTTTACAAGTGCACTTCTTTCATAAAATACACACATGCAAGTGGGTGGAGTCCATCTTTGTGGGAAAGTGTAAAAATTGATGTAAAAAAAAAATGATGTACAAATAGCATTTTTGCATATAGAAAGAGTCTTTATTTATTACAAAGCGATATATGGCCGACCAATCATAGTTTATATCACAAATCCATCAAAACTCTTTTATGTGCCTATTTACTACGCAATATTACGCTGCAGAAAGTATAATGAATCAAATTCAAAATTTTTTTACTTTACTGATATTATTGCACCTTCCCTGTAATGATCAAGTGAAAATAATTAGAATAGTCATGTTAGGCGTACAGACCCAACACTAAAGAGGAATGTTACCAACCCCTCACATAGGTGGAGTTGGGTTTTTTTATTTTTCTACATTCTTCATGGCTTCGGGACCCATGTTGAGGTGAGAGAATTGAGAGAGGGCCGCTAGAGGAGCATTTTCCTAATTAGAATATCGTTGGTCAATCCAAACTCCCTGATTCCAATATAATTACTTAGCCCCCGTTTGACACCCTACCCTAATTCATGTAAATTATAGAGTTTTAAATAGTATTATTGTAGAATGTGTGATTATAAAAAACTTCATTAGTTTGTGTATAAAATAAAATGTAAAATATTTAAGATTCTCATACGCACCCAAAACAAGCATTGCTTATGCTTAATGTTGTGTATTATGTCACAAATTCTTGGGAATCAAAATTAAATTTTTAATAAAATTTGATAAGTAATTAAAAAATCACAAATCCCATAAAATAATATATAATTAAAATTAATTATCACTTTTAGGAAATCCAAACCAATTCAATCACAGAATTGGAAGAAAGAAACCCAATAATCACATTTTTTTAAAAAAAATTCGATCCTTGATTGCAGATATTGTTGATATTAATTAGCAGATAACAATTAGCATAAACAAATGAGCAAAAAGCAATTCTTACTTAAATCTGCTAATTTACAACCCCATGTAATAAGAACAAAAGATAATCCCAAACAATTGTCTAAATCAATGCCCTACCCTCAGGACATATTATAACAATAAAAGAAGGCTTCAAACAAAATCATACCATAGTAATTAAATTAACCTAAATTAACTATCGATCAACTCCGCGGAGACTTATGCGCGTTCACCCCGGATACGTCTAGCAAGCTGAATGTCCTTGGGCATTATAGTAACCCTCTTGGCATGAATTGCGCACAAGTTGGTGTCCTCGAAGAGACCCACAAGGTATGCCTCGGCAGCCTCCTGAAGTGCGAGCACCGCGTGGCTCTGGAACCTCAAATCAGTCTTGAAATCCTGGGCGATTTCGCGAACAAGACGCTGGAAGGGAAGCTTGCGGATCAGAAGCTCCGTACTCTTCTGGTACTTGCGGACCCCGAACTTTCAAGCATGGCCCGAGGTCAATACCTCGACCACTCTCGTCTTCAAATATCCTCTAAAAAGTGATCGGGCCCTTAGAAGTCGGGCCTAATAATTTGGCCCCGCTAAGGTCAGGCCCATATGCCAAAATATTGTCCTCGTCTCGAGCCTTTTTACGTGTTGTAGTCCTCTTATAACTTAATTACTCTATCTGATGAGGATAAGGACTCTAAATTGTTGAATCCTTCTACAACTCAACCACCAACGTCTATAAATACAAGACCTAGCCCCATTATTCAGGTATGTTTTTACAATACAATTACAATACACGCTTTTACATAATTTCCCCGTCTGACTTAAGCATCGGAGGGGCGACGAGGACACACCTCGTTGCCTTTGTTTCAGGTACCGGAAGGCTCCATTCGTGCTCGATCTCAATCCTCAAGTTCGGGAAATCAACAGGTACGATTTTTTGCATCATCATTACCCATAAATTCAATTTTTTTTTTCAACTTTTTAACCACCTGTTCTATAAAACTTCACTATTACAAAACTTATTTTCAACTAAAAACAGAGATCAAGCATAGACTAAAATTTTTAAAGAATTCGTAAGTATTATTCATTTTTTCATAACTTATTTTTATTTATTTATAATTTAAACAATTTATGAATACATTGGAGACGTGTTATTGTCATCACTCTCCACTATAACTTTTGACGCCCTACTATAGATTTGTATTGACAATAAAAATCAGATTAACAAATCTTCTCACCTAATTAGAGTTTTCACTTCTTAAATTCACTAATTTCGATGCTCAAACTTGGGGTTAGAGGATAAATGATTATTTGGAACAGAGGTATTTGAATTGCATCCGTTTCTCTTCAAAATCGGAGTCCTCGAAATCCAATTTTATTATTTATATTAAAAGTAGGACTTGTTATACTTTTTGCAGTCTTGCAAATTTATCTTACTTTTTTTTGTTAGTGGTGGCTGACGTTGACCATATTGAGGGGACCTACTATGATTGTTACAATTTTCGCATGCTACAAGTTTATTTGTTCGTTTCTAGGTTAATGCCCAATGGGCGTTTAATGCATGTGCTGATCACGTACATGTCTTCCGTGTATTTTTTAATCTAGTTAAAGTGCCACTGATACTCAATAGGAAGAATTCTATCGGTCGAGATCTATCACTAACCGGATCAACGGTTCATACTTCTTATCTGAATTTATAATTATGCCCTTTCTTTTTGCGTCTTTACCACTTTTAGCATTTTCCTTTTTCTTTTTTTTTTTCCGGCAAAATCCTTGCTTATTGGCGATTGTATGACACTTTACATCGAAAGAGATCTCACCTAGACAATAGATTTGTATTCAATGATAGATGTATTTTATTATATAAAAACCTTGCAGAGTACCCATTTAATAGGAAATCGATGTTATTTTATTGGAATTCAATCGTTGAGGTTGGGTTGGTTTTGAGTCCAACTTGAAACCGACACCGACTTGATCGGTTTGGATAAATTTCAATTCAAACCGGTCCAATCCAGACGTTGAAATCAAACCAAACCAAATTGATTTGGGTGAGTTTGATTTGGTTAATCAGTTTGGAATTTGTGCGAGTAAATGAAAAAAAAATTGTCAACATATATTAGGTTAAAACATATCAATAATATAGATGGTAAAGAATCAATTTTTTCAAAATCATCATATATATAAATTCAATAGTTACTAGCGAACAATTACCCCAAAATGAAAGTAATGCTACAATCTAAATTCAATGTTTACATCAAACACTTCTTTTTTTTGCTTTCTTTTCTTTAGACATTTAGAGTTTTGCTAGAAAAATATAAACGATAAACAAATTATTTGAGATAAAATTATATTTTTGTTTTTATTATTTTGAATTTTTACTTCTAAAAAGATGAACTTTAAAATTAAAAAAAAAATGTTTTTGCAGGTTGGATCGGTTAATTATTGGATTGGCTGTTTAAACCGTAATCTACCCAACTTGACTTTTTAATGGTTAAAATTAATGGAACCAAATCAACCAAAACCAACCCGACTCCGTTTTGTCAGTTTTTAAATTTTTTTGCCCACCTCTACCCCCAAACTCTATCTCTAGCGCCGTCCCCATTTTTGAAGAGCCAACGTCTGTCTAATGATTGTATTTTTATAGGCATGTGCTCAGGGACGGATCCAGCCGCTTGTGTGAGCTAGGGCGGAGCATCAAACAGTACCTCCAATATAGTGAGATTTTTTACTAATATTTAATCAGTTCATATTAAAAGAATCTCCAATTAATATATAAAATACAGTAAAGTATAAAATCATATACATATGAAAATATAATTCCCTTTTCAAGAACCGTCGAGACCATCACCGGCAGGTGGCATATGGGCGAAAGAAATGGCTATGTATTATATATGTATTTGAGGCTTTGATGGTTGCGTGTTTTAGGCTTTTCGTTGGATGGATAACCCTGGACCAGGTAGCCTTATTTGCAGTTTGGGTTTAAAGAAAGAAAAAAAAAAAAGAGTTGGAGGACGTCTTATACTGCTTTCAAGAAGTGGATCGGGCTTAGGATTTAGTTTCCATTGGGCCCTCTCTAGTAGGACTATTATTGTTGGTCCATTGTAATTGTTCTCCCTCCACAGATTTATGGAGCTGCTCTGCACATGCAGGCACAATCGAATTTAGATAGTGCGATCGTTGACTGTCAACAACCATAATATCAAGATCGTTTATTATTATTTAATTAAATAATATTAAAAACTATTCAATATATATATAAATGCTCTAAAACATAAACTCCCAATTTTCATAAATGTAAATCACAGATAAACTATCACCAAGTTTAAGTTTCCAATTTCCAACAACTTATTATTTATCATACAAATTCTTCAATTTATCATTGTCTACAGATATCAAATATTCTCAAATTTTCAATTTTCATAAATCATAAACCTAACATTCAGCAACAAAATCCCCAATATTCTCAAATTCTTGAATTCACAAAATCCCTAATTATCAAAAATCTAAATCCCCATGGTCAGTAATCTCAAAAACACATCCATAACTCATAAAGCATAAATCATAAACGATGAATAAAAAAATGAACTAAACTCTAAAAGAACAAAAACCAAAATAAAAAAAATATCAAAAAACAAAAGAAAATAGAGGCAGGAAAAAAAAACAAAAGAAAATAGAGGCAGTAAATTCACTACCTCACAATAGAGAAGCCCAATGGTGAAGACCGGAGAGGCTAGGCATCGACAGTCGGTGCGAGACTGCATTGTCACAGGGCAGGGGCTGGGTGCGAGAAATTGAGGCACTGAAAGATCAAAGAGTTTGCGGGTGGAATTATCCTTTAAAATTACTTCATAGTCAAGCCAAGAAGAATCTCAAATCCTATTATCAGACTCAAATTCTACCTCAAACTAGAAAATTTTCTTCTTCTACTACTACTGTTGTTGTTGGGAAGATGAAGAGAAGTGAAAAATCTATGGAAAAAGTGATGGATTTGAGCTGTTGCCATCTGCTTGAATGCTTGACTGTTTCCTGGAGAGTCTGGAGTTGGAGAAAGAAGAAACGAGGTCAACGAAAAGGGTTTGGCAATTTGGGGGAATTGTATTTAGGAGATTCACAATTCTTGCTTGCTGGACCTCAGGATCTGGATGATTGAAAAATCGAAATGATGAAATGGTTTGATAAATTGGATAATTTCATTGACAATTGGGCAAAATAATAAGAGACCCAAAATTTCTTTAATTCACTGAAGCCCAAACCAAAAAAAAGGGGATTTCTTCTTCCTTCTCCTTCTCCTTCTCCTTCTCCTTCTCCAGGCGGTAGACGAGGCGACCAGGCGGTTCTGCAATTGCTGCGCATAGCGAATGGCTTACCCAGCGCCCGGCGGTACTGTAGATTTCGATGGAGCCAGCACGCGCGGTCGCGCCCTCTTGCCGGGTGCCAGCTCCGCGCTTGCACGTGCTTATCATATGGGGGGGGGGGGGGGGGACAAAAATCAAGAACCATCGAGACCATCACCGGCGGGTGGCATATGGGCGAAAGAAATGGCTATGTATTATATATGTATTTGAGGCTTTGATGGTTGCGTGTTTTAGGCTTTTCGTTGGATGGATAACTTTGGACCAGGTAGCCTTATTTGCAGTTTGGGTTTAAAGAAAGAAAAAAAAAAAAAAGAGTTGGAGGACGTCTTATACTGCTTTCAAGAAGTGGATCGGGCTTAGGATCTAGTTTCCATTGGGCCCTCTCTAGTAGGACTATTATTGTTGGTCCATTGTAATTGTTCTCCCTCCACAGATTTATGGAGCTGCTATTTATATTCCATATGGACTTTCCTCCGGCAGCTTAAAATGCTACTACCAATAGACAAGTATTTAAAAAGGCATTATAAATTTGATGGCCTGGCCCCAACAATTTCAGAAGATGCTACCCAAAAATAGAAGTCCATTTTGGAAAATACAATAGTGACTACACGGGCGAGACACGAACACGTCATCTCAAAGGAATTGTTTTTGTAAGTGCACGCAAACTGAGATAATGTCAAGGTTTTTCCATGGAAATATGCAGCACCCAGCTCTAAAACCCGGGTATGTTTTCGCCTAACAGAGGTATTCACTTTTTTATTCTGTTGCAAACTTATATTCTCCAAGCAATTCAACTATGGATATGTGACCATGCTAGCCTTTTCGTTTTCTTAACATGTTCATCTTTTGATAGCACGCCATTTATGCATTGATATGGAGAAGTGAATATAATGTAGTTTCACCTATTTTATGGGAATGCACGTACTTAACTATAAAAACATAAAAATGGAGCTTATCTTCAAATAAAATTCTTTGCACTCCTCCCTAGCACATTGACAATAATTAACAAAAAGAAAAAAGATCAATCTCTAAAATTCATGTGGAAAGTTTTGCTTGGACATCAATTCAAGACACTCAAATAATTTTACGGAGTTTTACATCACCAGAAGACCATAGCTCCAAGAAATAATCATCATTATGAAAAATGGAAACTTTGTAATACTAAACTAATGAAAGCACTTGAGCAATTGATTTGTTATGATAAATAAGTGTTGGAACTTTTAATGATTTTATTGATTTACATTTTAATAAACAAAGGCTATGCATTGAAAATATTATAGAATCACTACTTACCTATATCTTTTACACTATTACTAATGTGGAGCAAACCAACATAATTAGTTGAGATTAGTATAGGAGCTCATGCGTACGTCCCAAAATAAATATTATGGATATTTAAAAGA